TGTTAATATATACACTAGACAAAATTACTGTCTATATACAAAATGTATATAATATGCCGTTACAATGTATTTCCAAAACAGTGGGACTGACAAATGTCTTGGTATCATGAAAAGACCCTTGAATGACCTTGTCTGAAAACCAATTTCCAGCTGTGCACTGCACACCATTTTTGCCCAGATATGAAATTTTGTATCACTAAAGGTGGTTTGTGAGGTTGCCACAGGAGTAGTCCCCCATTAATAAATCAAACGAGATGTGTTTGTGAAACACTGATGCCCCCATATGGCAACATAATGAAGGTTACTGGTAAGCTTTCTCAAATGCATTTCTCAAATATGTTGGTACCTAAAGTAAGGCCTTTTCACAAGAAATACAAATGTGAACTAGTGCTAATTGTAACGGGAACCATTACAGATGTTCCCCAAACGCTCCCCATATCCCTTTTGGTGCCATATTCCATGTACCGTAAGCTTCATTAAATAAGACAAACCCTATGCATTTGAAACTTTAACAACGTTTACCCAGAAGTGTACCAAGTTCATTCAAATTTTAGCATTGCACGCATTCACATGTGAATGCATGTGCGTAATGACCATATCATCTTGTCTACACAATCTATATATTTTAATATACTAAATATTAAAGTATTTAATCTAAAACTATTAAAAAATACGCTCATTCAAGAGTATCTTTGATTTTACTCATTTCGCGTGCATGCACGTGCATACACGAGCATGGTGACCATACCTTCTTGTAGAAGTCCATTACATCTACTTATGTTCTACATCCCACCCCGTTTGGTTGAAAACCAAGGGAGTTATAGCTGTTTAAAGTTTCAGCCAATCAGATTACAGCGCACGTACACGCAGGAGTATGCATGTGCATGGTGACGATACCTCCTTGTAGAAGTCCATTATATCTATCTATGTTTCAAATCCCATCTTGTTTGGTTGGAAAGCAAGGGAGTTATACCTATTTAAAGTTTAAGCCAATCAGATTGCAGTGAATGTGCATACACGTGTTTTCATGACAATTGCTATATGTCATGTTGTAGGATATCCTACTGCATGACTATGTTTAAAATTTCATCAAAAAACAATAAAGATATTGAGACTTTAGTTTCAGCCAATCAGAGCGAAGCGCACGTGCATGCGCGTGAGATCTTGCTATTTTGACCATGTCATATTGTCTATAATTCTAATATATCCTTATATTATAAATTTCCAAACATTTCATCAAAAAATAGAAAAGATTCGGCTTTATCCTGCAACTACCCCTTGCATTGACCTAATAAAGGTAACCTAATAAACCAAAGCTTTATTCGGTCACTGCCCTAATAAAGCCTCGTGCATGTATTCCGACGTTCTAAAAGCATTGTGACGTCACGTATACTGCAATGTTTACGCCATGGCGTCATAGTTTCAACTGCAGTGATGTGCCTAAATCTGTCGGAAATAGCTTGTTTTATACATGATAACTGTCTTGAAATATAAGCGATATTTGGGCTCGGGTCGAAAACGTAAGAGGGCTTGGCAAGCCTCGCCCTCTATCACGTTTTCTTACCCTCGCTCAAATATCGCTTATATTTCAAGACAGTAACCATGTATTTTATATATATCCGTTACATTGGTCATTTTGCTAGATGCACCTTTCTTCATCATAAATATATGTACTAAGATCATTCGCATAATACCTAGGAGCAATGGAAAAGATTTTCAAAGAATTCATGCATTTTCACTATACATATAATCATTAGAGCCCCACCCTAACACCAGAACCCCTGACCAAGGGGCCATGAAATTCATATATTTTGGAAGAGGCATCCTTCTTCATCATAACTTTGTACATGTACATGCTTCACTGGTTTAATACCAAGGAGCAGAGAAGAAGATTTTTGAAGAAACAATGCATTTTCACAATATAATCAATAAAGCCTTGCCCTAACATCACAAGCCCCAACCCAATGGCCACAAAATTCACAATTTTGGAAGAAACACACTTGCTCATCATAACTATCTACTTAGTTTGTATAATACCCAGAGGCAAAGAAGATTTTTAAAGAATTCATGCATTTTCACGATATACTCAAAAGAGTTCCCTCCTTACACCAAAACCCCTGACCAGGGGCCATGACATTCACAAATTTGGAAGAGGCATCTTTCCTCATCAAAACTATATAAATACTGTATACAGGGAAATTTTCGCCCCCGTTTTATTTTCGCCCCTTTCGCCCTACTATCAATTGGGCGAATTTAAAACGGCGTATTCAAAGTATACATTATAATTTCTTAAACAAAACTATGACTGGGCGAATTTAAAAGAGGGCAAAAATGTTTGCAAGTGTGAAAGGCCAAAAATAAGACGGGGCGGAAATAACCCTGTATATAGTAGTTTATTGGTTTAATACCCAGGAGCAGAGAAGAAGATTTTTGAAGAATTAATGCATTTTCACTATATAATCAATAGAACCCAACCCTAACACCAGAACCCCTGACCCTGGGGTCATAAAATTAAAAATTTTGGAGGATGCACTCCTGTTAATCATAACTATATACTTAGTTTGCTTGTTTAATACCTAGGAGCAGAGAAGAAGATTTTTGAAGAATTTATGTTTTTTTTATTATACAATCAATAGAGCCCCACCCTAACACCAGAACCCCTGACCCTGGGGCCATGAAATTCACAATTATTGAAGAGGCACTCTTGGTCATCATAACTATGTTCTTAGTTAGTTTATTTAATACCCAGGAGCAGAGAAGATTTTCAATAAATAATGCACTTTTACTATATGATCTATATTGACTCGCCCTAACACCAGAACCCCTGATCCAGGGGTCCTAAAATTAACAATTTTTGAAGAAGCACTCTTGGTTATCATAACTATGTTCTTAGTTAGTTAATTTGACACCTTATACCATATTTAATTATTGTGAGAATACCTTTCATTGGATATCAACAACTTTGAACTTATGACCTTGACATTTGACCTACTTTTTACAAACTTTAACCATAGCCATAACTTTTGAACAGTAAAAACTAGAGCTTTCATACTTCACATATGTAATCCTTGTGGAAAAACTTTCATTGGCACCAACTTTGACTCTTTGATCTTGACTTTGGAGTATGACCTACTTTTTACAAACATTAACCTTGGCCATAACTTTTTGGACCAGTGCTTTCATACTTCCCAAATGTAATCTTTGAGGCAATGCCTTTCTTTAGAAACAAACATCCTTGACCCTTTAACCTTGACCTTGAGGTTTGTCTTACCTTTAAAAACGTTAAGTTTGGTCATAACCTTTGAACAGTTGGTGCTAGGGTTTTATATTTCACATTTGTATTTCTTGTGAAAAGGCCTTACTTTAGGTACCAACATATTTGAGAAATGCATTTGAGAAAGCTTACCGGTAACCTTCACTATGTTGCCATATGGGGGCATCAGTGTTTCACAAACACATCTCGTTTGATTTATTAATGGGGGACTACTCCTGTGGCAACCTCACAAACCACCTTTAGTGATACAAAATTTCATATCTGGGCAAAAATGGTGTGCAGTGCACAGCTGGAAATTGGTTTTCAGACAAGGTCATTCAAGGGTCTTTTCATGATACCAAGACATTTGTCAGTCCCACTGTTTTGGAAATAATGGCATATTATATACATTTTGTATATAGACAGTGGTTTTGTCTAGTGTATATATTAACATCACCTAATGTTAAAATTTTATTTATTAAGTATAGACGGAGATGAAAGTCCCTTTTATCTTATTAGTTTATTTTAGGTGATAGCTTTATTGGACCGTTGAAAGGTAAATAAAGTATCAATAATTGGAGTAAATCCATACAAACGTTTTTTTTGTACCGATATGTACAGTCAATTCTCAAATTATCGCCATTTGATTCATCGCCATTCTCGCAATACTGCCATGATTTTCCAAGAACATTTTTCCTGCTATACAAAATTCTCTTTATAACGCCGAATTCGCATACCGCCATCCATCACCCTGTTTTCACAACAAACGTCCATTTCAAAGTCTCAATTATCTTGATATATTGCCACATGTGCATGTAGTCAGTGAAGCAGCTAATTGGTTGACGCTATCACCATTGTAAAGCATGTAAAGCCAGACAAGGTCATGCATTTAAATAATTAAATAAGAATTAAATAAACAATAATTTTAACATGAGCTGTTTTTATAATTTTGTTCTCTGTTTAATAAAAATGATTTAGTCACAGCTTCGCCACGAAAGCGATTGTTGTTAAAGTTCGCCGATAACGATATTATTTCGATGATCTCTGTTTTAAACAATGCAAAGTTTATCTAAAAAAATAATTATACAGTATAAATTGTGAATGTTTTATTAAATATGATGCCATAAACAATGAATGTATTCAAAAATACATTTTACGTACTATCGGCAATATATCACAATGATTGACACAGATGTTTTTTTTCTTCACTATCAGACATGCAGATTTAGACACATACACATGTACTTGTCTTTATTTCATAATTGCACATTTTGTTTGAATGAAATTATACATAAAAAAAATACTTAAAGTATTTCTAAATTTATAAGTATGTTTTTTTAAACATGTAATAATAAGAATATAAACGGTAAATGTATTTCCAAGAATGGTAACTCTACTTCTTGTTTCCCAAAAGATGGGAAATTCAATTCATTGCCAAATTCATTATAATGCTATGATTTCTAAATTACAAAAGGCAGCGGTTTATCGAGAATTAACTGTACATAGATTTTATCCAGTTTTATTTACCTAATTATCTCAACTGTAGTTTTAGTTTAAATGGGAGCCCTTGTACCAAGGATACTCTGTGACAAATTTGACAATATTGGCGAAGGGGTTCTAAAAACTTTATGCACATCACAAAAATGGCTACTGCAGAGCCTTTGGCTCAGAAAAGCTAAAAGCAAGATCAGAAAAGGTCAAAGAAGATCTATATTCAAGGTGATATGATGCAGTTTATCAGTATTACCTCAAATGTTGTTTCCATAGTTGGCTCACAGTAAGCAAGTACACCTTGAATCTTTTGCATTCTCTCTCGTATGACTGATTCTGGCATTGACTTTGAAAAACCCATTCCAGACCAAATGTCAGTAGGATTACGTGTCTCACCATCTGGTTTTCTTTGCATAGCTGGAATAAAGAAGATAATGAATTTGATAGTGTTCATCTCTAGATGCATAATCCATGCAAGTTTTTTTTTTCTAGAAAGGGCTTTTAGTTACTTGAGAATGGATCTGCTAAAAAAATGCTCAAAAAACTAAAAGCTGGTCCTTCATCTTAAATATGTAGGTCAGATGCAGCATCCAAAGCAAGTCCGGTAGTGTCCATCCCTAGATGAATTATCCATGCAAGTTTGGTCCAGGTAGGGCTTAAAGTTACTTGGGAATGGACCTGCTCCTAAAACTTTAGCCGGTGCTAACACTGACACCAACACCAATGCAGCTAGGGTGTGTGTGTGGGAAGGCTGTGTGTGTGTTTGCATAAGCTCATCTTGACCTGCTCAAGATGAGTTAAAAAACAATGTAAAACTAGTGGGTATTTTTTTTTTTTTTGTTTTTTTAACCAAAAATAAAGTGCCGCGCCACAGCATGATACGCCCGTCAAAAAATTACAATTTTCGTCAACAGTTTAGAGTGCAAGAAAATCAAGTCAACCTTGATTCTAAGATTTCCATGATTTTTCTATTCCTTGAAATATTTATCCATCCCCTGTGATGTAGGCATTAATTATAATAAATATTACATCATTGATAGATTTCTATGCTGGTTGTGTTAGACCTTGTCAAAAACCCAACATATTAAACAATATCAAATTAGTCTTAACACCTTAATCTATTCCAAATTAATTTTGAAAAGAAAAGGCTGGCCATCAAATAACACATGCTATAAACTGACCAGCAGTTCTTCTGTCTATCCCCAAAGGGTACAGATAAGACTGCTTGATCAGAGTAATTGAGACAGCTAGCCTTCCTACATTGAACTCATTAATTAATCTTTAACTGGATGCTTGTTTACTCATTACTACCAAGAGATGAATGTGTAGACCTGCACTATCTACCATAATTTTTTTTAAAAAACACTCGAAAGATTTTTTTTGGTTGAGATTTAATGTCCGACAGGTTTTAATATGTAATTCATATGGACATGCTGATTCCACCCCATTCAATAAAATTAGTTTTAAAATTAAAAATATTATATAATATCAGATTAGTCTATTAGGCTATATGAAATTAATTTTAATTACTTTTCTTCAAATTCATTTTAAAACTTAGATAGCCAACATGAGCTAATTTTAAGCCAACAGGCTTACCCATTTGCCCAATACTCAAGGGATTTAGATAACACTGATGCTCTATGTTAGCTCCTCACACTCAAAACTCTTTAATTTCTCTCTAATTTGACATGCAATTTTCTGTTATCAGAATTCTTCTTGACCAGTGCTTGATAATTACACTCATGGGAGAGGTAGGATTTCCCTAACATACATTATTATAATATTTGATATAGATTGCTGTCAAGTATATGCGCTTAAAAAATAAGTATTTTCTTGATTTAACACTTTTTTAATAAGGACACTGCAATACTCATACATTATTTGGGATGTGTAAATGAATAGTAAAAAGACACATTTTTTTTTTTAAATTTCACTTTAATTAAAGGTCACAGTGACCTTGAAATAGGTCATTACACACCTTCTACCTCAGATACATAAACTGGCCAAGTTTGATGATTTTAAGTCTTATAGCTTTCTAGTTATAGGCCGGAAAGGATTTATCCATATTTGGCTATAACTTCTTAATTAAAGGTCAGAGTGACCTACTTTTTGTGCGCAACACACCTTCTACCCAAGATGCATCAGATGACAAAGTTTGATAATCCTAGGCCTAATAGTATTAAAGTTATGAGCCGGAAAAGAAAAAGCTAACAGACAGACAGACGGACGGACGCGAAGCCTATAACATAATACGTCCCGTCTTAAGACGGGCGTATAAAAAAAAAAACCAAGTCTCCCATTCTTTACCAAACATGTGACTTTTCAGATCAGGGCCAAAAATAACAATGCAGTGCATCTTTCAAGTCTAAGTCAAAAGGATCTTAAATTATTGTCTGGTCTTGTTTGTATTAATTTGACCTTGAATGAAGAAAGTGATCAAGATGAAATATTTTGATGTAGAGCATTTAGTCTTAATGCTGTCATTACCCATTAACCATATCGAAATATTTACCGTTTTTGAGTTATAAAGCAAAAACTTTCAAGACCCCTAGTTCCCTAATTTGAGGGGCCAGTCCCTTTTTAATGATGTCAAATGATAGATCTTAAAATTATGCACAATATTTATTCAACATGTCTTAACAAATTATTTTTAGTTTAAAAGATACATAAGGAAATACTGTATACAGTTTTATTTTCGCCCCGTCTTATTTTCGCCCTTTCACTCTTGCAAAATATTTTGCCCCGTTTTAAATTCACCTAATCCTAGTTTTGTTTAAGAAATTATACTGTATTCTTTGAATTCGCCCCGTTTTAAATTCGCCCAAATGAGGGTAGGGCGAAAGGGGCGAAAATTTCCCTGTATACAGTATATGTAAATTTTTGCGTTTTAGGCATTCTAATTTTTGACCTCTATCTAGCACCATTTTGAGCGCAGAAATCGAAAATGAAAAACTGATGTGCACAACTTCAAATTTTCTAGTATTTAAATGCAGTAGAATTTCTGCTCCAGCTTTTGTCGTTTCTGAGCCTTTGTCTGGAAACGAACAGTACCAAGTTTTCATTTAAAGGGAAATAATTCGAAAGTGGAAGGGAATTTTTGAAATGTATGAAAACATTTTAATTGAGTTTTGTAACGTTTAAACACTCTGAAAATTTGAGCGAAATCCGTTAAGAAATGAGCGAGTTACGAGGTCTCAAAGTTGGCATCTAGGGAAAAAAAGAAAGAATAATAGGGAATAATCTTAACCATCAGAATCAGTAGAAGGTCTTCCGCCTGTGTGGAAGACCTTAAAAATGCCATAATTTTCCATCAACAAGAGGCCCATTGGCCACATCGCTCACCTGAGTAACTTTGGTGATGCCTTTCTTTACCATATTTCCCCTTTGTAAAACCTAGGGTGTGCCCCCATGATTTTAAAATTTAGATTCTACACTACCTCTACCCCAGGATGCTTCCACATAAGTTTCAGTTTTCTGGCTGAATGGTTCTTGAGAAGAAGATTTTAAAATATTTTTCCTATATCTCTCTATGTAAAACATGGGATTCCCTATTGTGGCCCTTTCTTACCCCAGGGGTCATGATTTTAACAATTTAGATTTTACACTACCCCAGAATGCTTCCACATAGTTTTAAGCTTTTCTGGCTGAATAGTTCTTGAAGAGATTATTTAAAGATTTTCCCTATATATTTCAATGTAAAACCTGCATTCCCTATTGTGGCCCCACCCTACCATGAGGGTCATGATTTTAACAATTTAGATTCTACACTACCCTAGGATGTTTCCACATAAGTTTCAGATTTTCTGGTCCAGTGGTTCTTGATAAGAATATTATTTAATGAATCCCCCATAACTACATGTATTTATTTGAATCTACACTAACTGAGGATGCTTCCATATAAATATGATCAATCATGACTTTGCTATTCTTGAGAAGATTTTAAAAGAATTTTTCTATATATTTCTATGTAAAACTTTGGTCAGCCTTTGTGGCCCTGCCCAATCCCCGAGGGTCATGATTTGAACAAACTGAGGATGCTTCCATATAAATATGATAAATCATGGCTTTGTTATTCTTGAGAAGAAGATTTTTAAAGAATTTTCCTATATAATTTCTGTGTAAAATTTTGGTCAGAAAGTGTGGTCCTGCCCTACCCCTGGGGTTCATGATTTGAACAAATTTGATTCTACACTACCTGAGGATGCTTCCATATAAATATGATCAATCATGGCTTTGTTATTCCAGAGAAGATTTTTAAGGAATTTTCCTATATATTTCTATGTTAAACTTTGGTTGGTCATTGTGGCCCCGCCCAACCCCCATGGGTCATGATCTGAAGAAACTTGAATCAACACTAACTGAGGATGCTTCCATATAAATATGACCAATAATGGCTTTGTTATTCCTGAGAAGAAGATTTTTAAAGCATTTTCCTATACATTTCTATGTAAAGCTTTGGTCGGCCATTGTGGCCCCGCCCTACCCTTGGGAGTCATGATTTGAACAAACTTGAATCTACACTACCTGAGGATGCTTCCATATAAATTTGACTAATCATGGCTTTGTTATTCTTGAGAAAAGATTCTTAAAGAATTTTCCTATATAATTTCTGTGTAAAACTTTGGTTGGCCATTGTGGCCCCGCCCAATCCCCGGGGGTCATGATTTGAAGAAACTTGAATCTACACTACCTGAGGATGATTTCACATGAGTTTCATCTTTCCTTGCCCAGTGGTTTTTGAGAAGAAGATTTTTTAAAAATGCCATGAATTTTTCACTAATTCATAATAATCTCCCCTTGGAAGAGGGTGTGGCACTTCATTTGAACAAACTTGAACCCCTTCACCTAAGAATACTTTGTGGCAAGTTTGGTTGCAATTGGCCCAGTAGTTTTTGAGAAGCAGATGAAAATGTGAAAAGTTAACAGACAAACAGACAGCTAGACAGACAAACGGACGCCAGACAAAATGTGATCAGACAAGAGGCCCAAGGGCCTTGAATCGCTCTTCTGATAAATTGTACAACCTATCACTTCTATTTGAAGCCTCTAACCCTAAGAATTCTAAGAGCCAAGTTGCATCAACTGACAAAGTTTGATGATTCTTAGCCAATTATAACTGAAGATATTTTAATAAAGCTATATAAAAATGATTCTAAGCTTATTAATACCTAAGATGCTTAAATAAAGCTATAAAATGTCAAAAGTAGGTCACCATGACCTACTTTTTGGTCGTCACTCTCTGAAAACCCAAGAGGCATCAACTCACAAAGTTTGATGATTCTTAGCCAATAAATATCGAAGATACTTAAATAAAGCCATAAAATGTCAAAAGTAGGTCACCGTGACCTAAATTTTAGTCAACATTTTTCAAAGTCCCAAGATGCATCTGCTGACCAAGTTTGATGATCGTAGGTCTG